ACAAATACAGAAATATTTCAGCACACTGAAATAAATAAGACTTTATTATATGAGTCAATTTTTTATGTTCAGACATGTGGATAATTAAGTACATTTTACATGCAACATATTCTATCTGTTAAGTAACTTACAGTGGTGAAAATACAGCTTAGTCCTCTCAGTAGTGGACTCTGAGATAGCAATGTACATGCAGGAAGTTTATTAGGAAGCACTATCTGGATGAAGACTTTGGGGGGTAGGAGATGAAGCAAGATGGACAGAAGGAGAAATTGAACTCTATTGCAATCCCAACAGATGTCTCAGAGGATCCCTCAAGGGATCTCTAAAGTTAGGATGGCCCTCAAAGATGTCTTGAATAGAAGCAAGTGCCAGGCCTTTATGGACCCACATCAGTCCTCATTGGATATCTACTACCCTGTGCAGAGGCATAATCTGCAGGTGAATGGCTCTTTAGTCAGGGACAATTTCCAAAGAGGGACCCAGCAGAGATCTGTCGGCCACCAACACTCCTAGCAGCTGTGGGAATTAGTATCTGAGTCCTGAGTGGATTGGGAGGAAGGATGAGATCTGTGAGGCACATCACTGGTATCCACTACAGATGACCAAAAGGAACAATAGTGAGTAATTTAAAGCAAGGTTCTGTCTCAATCCCCAATACAAATATACTTGAAACTATGAAATAATACAATTCCAGCAAGAAAACAAATTGAAAACTTTAAATGACAGTTGCTAGAATTACGGTGACTTTTGATGAGAGAAAAACAAGTCCAAAGAAAAGGCTTCGAGGTAATGAGGTAATTATTCATTCTAGAGGATATATTTTCCCCCACTTTAAGTCAGATAATGCTATCAACCTCCTATTCACACTGCATTTCACCCAAAATCATTCATGGTCAATCACAGACCAATAACTTTTTTGTAGAATATGAGCACCAGAGGGCATATCTTTACATTTTTAATATTTAACTAACATTACATGGCATTTTACAATTTACAAAATAACATACATCTTGACATTTAACTCTCATAACCCCATTCATGTTTAAACCACTTACTCAAAATCAGTACATGACAGTGTGTGTTTTAGGCTAGTGGCTTAAGGTTTGTGATAATAAGGGCAATGTCTTTAATATGTGCTGAGGTATCACTAAATGCCTGTCACGGTGCTTGAAGCAACAGCACTCAATAAATAACTATTGAATAAACTTCTGAGAGGGATTAGTAGTTTCGGTGCTACCTGTGCTTTTTTATGGCATTATATATATGCACATATATAATATATATGTAGCATCCATGTGTACGTGAGTGTGTGCTTATAAAGGACACATAGTATATGTAGTTGAATAAATTATACCAGGTTTATTACATATAATATGAACTAATATATACATTAGGGTCTTTTTGAGTAGGAATACTAGAGGTTTTTGGACCCAACTGATTTTTAGTCATTATCCTCTTGGTCAGTTTGGATAGGAGTTAATCTGGCCTTAGAAAGTCAGATGGGGTAAAATAAGTCTCATGATTAAAGTCTCACTTTTTGGGAGAAAAGCACCTTCCAAGGAATGTCTGGAAAAAAAAAAAAAAAGCTTAATGCTAGACTACAAGGGGAAAAAGAAAGCATATGGAAATCTGCATTTTTATTGTGTTTCTAAATTTGTGGTACTGTATAACTTTTCAGCAATGAAAGATGACTCATAAGTTTTCCTTCTGATTATAGTAATAATAATCATCATAATAATATTCATTCATGTAATGTAAACTATTAGGCTGAAATGCATTTTGGTGAATTTGTACACTATTAGATGAGCTATTTCTCCAAAGCCTACAAAAAAATTAATGTGGAACACCTGATATTTGACTGTGCTTCCAGATGGAGGGACAGCTTGACAAATGCCATCATAATTTACAACTTTTAAAAAGTGTGGTGTGAATGCATTTGCAGTAAGCTTTAAACAGCTTGGATTATTTACAGGTACAACTGTGTTTAATGTGGAATTTCAATGGATTTAAAATATTATTAGATCAATCACTGATCACAGAATATAGGTGTGGCATGTGAGCAATATTATTAAATGCTTTAATTAAATATCTTAGAACAGGGTACATCTGTTTGGGGAGGTTGGGGGGTGATAAAAAAGCATTTGAATTTTGAGTTTTGTATTTGATTACTGAGTGTCACTGAAGAAGCTCTCACCCTTGGAAAGACAGCTATTTTGAACTTATCCTATGGTGGGTTAAGAGAATAATAATTACAAAAAGCAAATATGGAAATAAAGTGTCTAACTCGTAATGATAACTTGGATACTTATACCCATAAAACAACTAAAATATGGATTGCTAACTGATAAGACTTGCAGTAGAGTGCAATCTAAAAAAGCATATAAGTGTCTGTCTCTGGTGGTTAGAAATTGACTATGGAAGCTCTCAGGTTAAATTGGAGAAGGGATTATATATGGTATAATTATATATATACATATATATATATATCTCATTCATATTATAAATATGTTACCTATGTATGCATGCATTTACCTTTTTTCTTTCCTAAACATATGTGTCTGTATGTACAGACACATATAAATATTACATACATTGTAATAGTATCATTATACATAATATATATATTATTCATATATTATAATTTATGTACATTATATGATATCCCCAGGAGGACACAGATGACTTTGGAGGTAGCTAAGGTATGGTTGTAGGAAGATTCAGGAACATCTGACTTTGGAACATTATTTCATGAAAAGCAAAGTAGTTTGACACATTTTAAGTAGAAATTCATTGACATATATTGTGATTTACTTCTCAGGAGTAAGTGGGAGATTGAGAAGAATACATGGTAAAGTGAAACTGAAGTTTCTGAAATGAACTGTTTAATGCATAAACCAACTTCAGGATCTACTATGTTCATTCACTCACCAATTATTCTTGGTCTCTTATGCTTCAGTCCTGGTCTAGGAGCTGACTATCCACTAGACAACAAGGTTTCTTTTCCTGAAGCTTACATTCTAAATGGAAGACAGATATTAAACAAGTCACACTTAAATAAATATGCAAATAAAATTTGATCAGGCTATGACAAAAAAGTAGGATGTCATAAAAGAGACTGGGGTGGGTCTAATCTTGTTCATTGGGATAGTTCAGGGAAGCCTTCTCTGAGACCTAAAGGATGCTTAGAATGGGAAGAGTCCCCCAAGTGGAGGACGTGTGTAAAGGGAGGAGAAATGGTTGGAAGAAGGGAAGATTACTTCGTGAATGGTACATAAAGAGTCATGGCAAAAATGGCTATAGGTGAGGTTGGAGAAGGGCAGGGCGGGTTATTAAGATGTCACTAGGAAGTTTGTATTTACTGAGTGCAATGCAAACCACTGAAGGATTTATTCATTCTGTTTGTGTGTGCGTGTGTGTGATGAGTCAATTAATACTTTTAAAAACTCAGTCTAGAGTGGAGAGGGGTAAGGTATGAGTAGAAGAGTGGAATACCACTGGACCTTGGTGGATGGAGTGAAGGTGGAGAAATGAAGACACATTCCAAGATCCTTTAGGAGGTCGAAGTTTGAGAGCTTGGGGATGAATAAAATGTTTGAGAAAACATGATTTTACGGTTTCTATGTAACTCTCTAGTTTTTCTTAGCAGTACAATTTGATTCAAGAAAATGTATCCATTCTCTGTCTAGTAAATTCCAGGCTCTGGAAGGTAATCTAATGGTTTGTTTAAAGAAGTCTTCCCAAATCACTCAAGGTAGTGAGCATTTACACCCCAGTTACCCTTTTCCATTTCTCTTATCTTCTAAGCAGACATCACTGTTTCTTACTATTTTGCTACTTGCTTACTAGGAGTATAATCTTCGTGAGAGTGAGGTATTTCTCACTCTAGAAATATAATCTAGAAGACGGATTATATCCAGAGTACCTAACAATGGGTACATTGGAACTGTTCAATAAATATTTGTTGAATGAAATGATGAATGAACTAATGAAAGAATAACGATATGGAGGAAATACTTGAATCCAAGGTGCTCACAATCTAGCCAAGAGGATTAAGAAGGATGGTAAAAACCTTACTAGAAGTAAGCAGGTAGCGTTATGGGAGAAGAGAGGAGGAGGATGTATTTATCTAACCGGGAGAACAGAGGGAGGTCTGGAGACAGATATACTCAAAGATGAATGTTTTCTGGATTGAGACCATCTCTCAATGGAAATCATTCCCGTCTCTCCAGCAAGCTCTATAACAAAACATAAAGCACTCTTCAAAGGAGCTTCACATTTTAGAAATATATATCTACATATTTAAGGAGTCGTTAGAATGGATTGTCCTGCAAAGATACAACCTTGATTTTGTACCACCTACAGCACTTACAGCACTTATTACTTGCCACTTCTGGCTGTAGAAATTTTGCTCCTCTCCCTCCCTGGGTCCTCTGATAACCCTGTCTCCGCTCGCTGGTACTCCCGGGTTTTGTCCACTGTCGGAAGACCTGCGCCCTTGCCTTCTCCCGCCTTCTGATAGATGAATAGAGGAACGTTTACTACCTCATCCCTGAGGAGTTCCAGAAGATGCAGCTGCCCATAAGCTAACGTTTCTGCACCTTGCGGGATTCGTGAGGAAGCAAAAGAAAAGGAGCAATTTGTTACTTAGAGCGCCAATTGCCTTTACCTTTAATCCTGTGGGTCTCTAACATCTGGCCCCAGCCTACCAAGCTCAGGCTTTAACAGTTTACAGAGCAAAGGTCAGTCCCGGGTGCGAGTGCTCTCTCCCTCCCTTCCTTCCGCCTGTGGAAGGAAAACAAGCCGCCAGCGTGGGGGATGGGCCGGGCTGCTTTCCCCGTGGTTCCACGGGCAGTGCGGGGCGCCTGGAGCCGCGAGGCCGAGCCCGCAGCCCCGCCCCAGGGGCGTGGCCTCCCAGCGCCAGCCCCGCCCCCTCGCCGCGGACCCTCCGCTTCCTATTTACTCGGTAGCTCCGGCTTCCCGTCACTTCGCTTTCTGACTGGAGCTTGAGGACGCTAGGAGGGTCTGTCACTAGGAGACTTCAGGCTGTAAACACTGCCATGGCCCCTGTGCTTAGCAAGGACTCGGCGGACATCGAGGTACCGACTGCGCGCCGGGTCGCCAAGGGCGGGAGGTGGGGGCCCAGCCGGTGGGTGCTGGGGAGGCCGCGGCAGTCGCTCGGGAAAGAGTGGGAGACCGGGGAAACTTTGCCTCCGTGGGAGGCCTGCGGGGGAGGTGGAGGAGCAGGGAGCCAGAACATGGGCACGGGCAGCGGGGGACAGAAGTGGAAGGGTCCCGCGACTGGAGGGGGTGCCTTTTGGGTTGGGACCTGGCTGTTTACTTCGGAGGGGATTAAGGAAGCCTGTCTTGGCTTGCCCTGAATGGTGTGACTAAGAAGCACAAGAGTTCCAGTGAGGTGGACTCTGGAGGATAGGAGCTCCCATTTCCCACCCAGTCTACCCAGGCACTTTCCCCTTTCTCCACCCCTATGCATTTCAGGGCACTTGTTTGCTGCCCCCACCTCCAATTGCTGAATCCTAAATATATGCAAAGGTGAGCTATAGAAATAAAGGAGATCTGTGTGTCAGCTATTCTAGCAGTCCCTGCTAGCCATAGTAATGCTTCAATGCTTATGAAATTATTTAACATAGGGAGGAATGGAACAAACTATTGAGAACACGAAAAATGCAGTGCTATCAGAAAAACATAAACAAGCTGTATTTTTCTCTCCTCTCAAGAGTTTTTGATTCTCTCTTCCACTCTGTTTCTGTAACAGTTTCATCTTTCTTCCTGTGAATAAGGTCCTACCTGAAATGACATGACCGTTTCCTTTAAATTCTTCCTAAGACCTTTGTGTTTGACATGGGAAGGATTTAATTTTAAACAGTGATTTTTAGACATACCCAATTCAGCGTTTGTGAGCTAAGATAAACTGCTTTTTAGTATTTTGTTGTGTTTTGTTTAAGGCTTTTCTTTATTTGAGTCTCCCTGTCCGATAAAATGTGTGTATATGTGTGTATGTGTATGTTTTCTCTGTCTTTTTTTTTTTTTATAAATGACAAATTTTTCTTTCCTCAGTCCTTTTCAGTGGCTTAAATAAAAGTTTAAAACCACCTGTTTGCAGAATAGCTGCTGATGCCACATTTTTCCTCTGTCATTGAAGTAACTTTGTGTTCTGTTGGGAGATGGTAGTAATGTTTTCTTCCAACTCCATACATTGGTTTGGGAAAAATCCATTTTAGTAATAAGAGTCAAATTATATTGTAGTGACCTCTCTGGTTAATTTACTTGTGGTTTCTCTTGTGGATAGTTTACTATTTCATATTGATCAGTAAGATATGTTTAACCCAATATTTATTCATGTGTGCACAAGGTGAAGGATACTCGATTTATGTCACTGTCAAAGCCCTTTTTGGTCCTTATTACTTTGATTTAACCACATCATTTTTTTAAAACTAAGCTAAATAGCAAACTTTTGACAGCATTCAGGCAGTACTGATTTTAGAGAGGAGAGTGTCAGGGGGGCAGGTGGCCTTTGGCTTTTAGAATGGTATGTTATTTGCTTAACTGATTTCTTTCTCTGTATTTCTCTTGCAATTGTCTTGGAAATCAGTTCTTAACCACAGAACACTAAGGAAAAGATGCCAGTGAAACATTAAATTACTAGCTTAATCTCATATGTTGTTTGAACTAAGACCCGTTTGAGAAGTCCACGCCCTTACACTCACCTCAGTCTAACCTTAGTCTGTGGGGTTAATCTGCCTGATATTACTTACAATTTAGAACAGTGGTATTCAAGCCTTTTCAGGTTTTATGTAGTTCATATATGCAGCACATTTTAATCAGTAACCACTTTCATTATACATAGTATCTTCCTTTTCTCTCAAAGTAATAACCTGTGATTCATGAGTTATAGTACCACCAGAGAGCATGAAATTAATCATTAAAATATAATGCAGTGAAGAAAAATACATTAAGCCTAAAGGAACACATTTAAGCATAGATGTCTCAGTTGATCCTGTTGATTCACCAAAGTTCATTTTTGTTTGAAGAATCAGAATGAATTATGAAAGCTCAGTTTTCTATCAAATTTGAATGCGTACATTGGGTTTCCTTTCTTTGAATGAATTCCTTAAGACCATTGTCTAGAGACTGATCTGACTGTGACCATTGCTTTAGTCTCAAGTACATGGAGTAATCTTAAAAAAAAATCAGTATGGAACAAAATACAGGTTCACTTGATAAATGTGAAAAGAACAGAAGGTGATGGTGACAACCCACTATAATAGTGATTTAACTTTCCCCATAAGCTACCTACAGAATCTCAGGTTTCAGTGAGGCAGCCAAGAAATATCTCTATTTCTGAAGAAAAAAAGTTACTGAGGTAAAGTTGCCTTGTGTGTTCACTCCATAATGTCTAGCCTTAATTATCACATCAGGGTTTGAAGGATTGGGAGCATAAAAAACAATCAGAATGTCACCAAACCCCAAAAATGGAATATTTCAGGCTGAAAGATAAAGCACAACAATGATGCATTAGTAAGTAATAGATATTAGGCGATAGAACCTAGCTCATATACTCAAAAATTGTTGTCACTATGGTAATTGTAGAAGCAGAATGAGAAGTGAAGTTGTTTTGTTTTGTTTTGTTTTCCCTGATACATAAATGTGATTCAGACCCTGGGATCTGGAGCTAACTGGGTTGAGGTCTAGTTTAGTTCTTTTAAACTGTGACTTTAGGAAGGTTACTTAGCTTCTCTGAGTCATATTTTCATAACCTGTTAAATAAGGAAAATTATAATAGGAAATATAATAAATGTCACAAGTTGACATATTCTTGTTAGGAAAAAGGACAAATGTTAAAAAATAAAAGTATGAACAAATATCTTAGGAAAATCCCTGCCAATGAAATAATTAGTATTCTAAAATCATTAACGGTAGCTATGTGCTTTTGAAAGTCATCTTACTTTATGGGATTACATTTTGGACAAAGCTGAATTTTGTCAAGGATAACTTTTGAATACAAATTCTCCTGGGAAGGTTTGAGAGAAGGTGAATACCCAATCCTGGTCACTTACCCTGACTTCAGTGGTACCTTCACAGTACTTCATTTAGTTTGAATTGATAACCAGTATAATGCCAATATCTGTTCATTTAAAAGCAAGTAAGAATAATTTTAGAAAAGTGTAATTTTGTTCAGTGTCCTGTTCCTCTCCACTGACATGGATAATTAAGAGTAGACTATAGAAGTATAATTAAAAGAAAATGTATGCAGCTACAGGAAACCTTTAACTTTCTGAATAATAGTAATTTTGGTAAATATTTACAGCCAAACTCAAATGCTACCTACCACTCTAATGCTTTCACAATCACAAGTCAACGTCCATTCCTTGAATTATCAGTTAGTGAGTGTTTCACATTTACCCTGAATCAGAAAGGGATTTCAGTCCATTGTCTACAGAATCATAGTGCATTTCAAGTCAAACAGAAACAGTTTCTGAATTACTTATACTCTAGCTTCCATTCATTTGAGAATTTTGTATGCTTATTAATTAAGAAACTAAGTTACTAAAATCATGGACTTGGAAAATGGGAAGATAAAGGAAACAACTGGGAGAAAAGTACATTTTTAAGGAGGATTTTGAAAAAAGGGAAGGCAGGGGTTATGAATTAATTGGTAGAGGTGGGAGAAAATATTTCAGAATACCCTGTATCATAACTGTTTTTGTCCCTGGGAAGGGGAAGGGTTATGGATCCAAAGGAGAGAATAAAGATTCAACTTTGCAGAAGCTATGGATTATTTATTTATTTATTTAAACTTTTATGTTTTTTTTTTATTCAGTGTATAAATGACAGTTCTTTCTTGTCTCCTTTCTTTTACTGATTAGGCACCACCAATCTAAGGAAATGCTATCTCGACTTGCTAAAGCTTTTAATTTTTTTTAAAGTTTTTAAATTTTAAACCTGTTCTGTGAGTCTGAATTGTTAAAAATATGCCTGTCCTCCCTATTTTAAACTGTCCTGTGGACCGTACTCAAAGTATTTCTCCTTTCTAAGAAATTAAGCTAGGCAGTAAAAATGTGTCTGATTGTGTGATTTGGGAAGTTACTTCATTCCAAATGATAGCTCCTTGTAGTTTTTTTTTAAAGGAGAGAATAAATTTATTATTATTATTATTATTATTATTATTAATAATAATAATAATAACATATGAAATTTATTGTCAAATTGGTTTCCATACAACACCCCGTGCTCATCCCAAAAGATGCCCTCTTCAATGCCCATCACCTACCCTCCCCTCCCTCCCACCCCCCATCAACCCTCAGTTTGTTCTCAGTTTTTAAGAGTTTCTTATGCTTTGGCTCTCAGCTCTTTGTAGTTTTAAGGTGTATTTCTAGAGTTAAGCATGGCCAGATGTATATACCTCAGTATAGTTTTTTAAAAGAAATTAGACCTCCTGCACATGAATTCAGTGACCAATTTAGTAGTTTAATTAAAAACTGAGATTAATGACTAATGACGATTCTATCACTAGGGAATTTTTTACGTTGGATCTGCTTAATCATAGCAGATAGTGTTGTAAAAATATGTTGGAATTCAGTAGCCTTCTTTCTTACATTCTGGAAGAAAAATTCAGTTTTGGAAAGCTGAACATTTGCAATAAGGAATTGATAAGAATATGAAAAAGATCTAGGGCCAAAATCCTGAGGAAACTGGATATCTTTAAGCAATCATCTTTCCTTAACTATTTGAATACAGCATTTTACCAAACTCTGTATATAAACAGGCAAGAATGCAAGAGCTGAAAAATAGACCTTACTGTAAAGGTAAACCTATCTGATCATTGTGGGAGAATTTTTAATAAGCATAAATTTGTTATAAAATTAAAAACACTATAATTAAAGACAATGAGACTGAAAAAAATAAAGTTATAAAATAATATGACAAAGAAAATATGATGAGATTTGTTATGGTCCAGGCTTTAAGTGAAGCTAACGAGGATATTGAAAAGTAGGATTGGCCAACTTATTTTTCTCCCTCTTAGCTGGAAACAATGACAAATATGAATAGAAACCTTCAGTCCTTAAAACTGTAAGAA